CTCTCTCTCTCTCTCTCCCTGGCTCCTCACTTGCTCCTCTTTCCTCTCCCCTGGTCCTTTCTCCCCTGTTCCCTTTCCCCTTGTCCTCCTTCCCCTCCCCCTCTCTCCTGCCTTCCAGTTTCCTATCTCCACATGGACCACCAAGCGGGGCTGAGGTGAGCATGCTACCATGAAATGTGTCTGACTCCATTATTTCAATCTCTCTTCTATCTCGCATGCTCTCTATGACTTTATTATAATCTATATCTATCTATATATATATATATTTTTTTAACCGTACAATTGCACCTATCGAACCTGCGATTAGTTGTGGGGGGCTGGCCATTTCCCCACACCCTATTAATGGGGAACATTATAAATCATACCCAGGGGCCATGTGGCAATTCTGTTGATAGTATCATTTTATTTAGCCAATGGCATAGAATTTAAAATACTTTTACAAAAGGAAAGTACACATGTATAAGATCATTTTTAAGACTAACATCCATGCATTATTGACTTGTACGGATTAAAAAACGTAAGCGACTAAACACTATTTTTGCAAACACTGAGAATTGAATATTGAGCAAAACTTTCCATAATGCTCATTCCCAGAGGGAGAACTATGTCTGCTAGACTAAGACATGTCACAAAAAAAGCAATTAAGAGTATAAAGAGGTATTCTGTTTTCACAGAACAGTATATGAAAATAAGTTGGTGAATTCATCACGGCTGATGATTCTGTGTGTATCTATCCAGTCCACGCATAAAGTTCATGCGACCTACCGTCTGGCCGATGTTTGAATTGCAGAATGCCGTCCACCCATTTTTCACACGTTTGAGCAAAATAGTCATACCCATACAGGGCTTCTAGGGGCTCTCTTATTCTCTTGCTCCACTTAGAAACATCCCGGATGCCTGGAGAACAGAAGTGTACATTCAAGGTATGTGTTGTCTCATATACTAAGTTACTGTCTTTAAGTACCCCACACTTGCCCATCTCAGAGCCTTCATATTTGCTGTTCCATCTGTTAGAACATTCTCTAATACTCACATTACTTACCCTCATCACACCCAGGTTTCTGCTCAAACATTACCCAGGCTCTTTCCCTGGCCACCCTTCCTACAAGTGTATCCCTAAAAGACGCCACCCTCCACCTCTGCCTTGCACTTAGAACTTCCTCCTTGTATTCCCAATATCTGAAGGGAGTTTTGTCGCCCTGTGTCAGAAGCTTCACAAAAGTAAGGGCTCTGCTTTGCTTACCTCTAGACCAGATCTAAACCTGGGGTCGGCTAACTGCAGTTCTCAAGCCATGGCATGGCTCTTTCAGTATATATAGCTATATGACTCTGAAGGAAAATTGAAAATATATATAAAACTATTATTCAGACAATGGTGATTTCATTTGTTTGTAAAAGTACATATATAGCTCTCAAGTAAATTTTAAATTATTGTGAGGGTCAGAATTGGTTCTTCAGTCTCAAGTTTGCCAGCCCTTGGTATAGACCACTGTCTAGCATAAAACAGGCACCTAATAAATAAGCATCAAGAGAATGACATATGAGATGTAGTGAAAGTTTTCTACTTAAGGTATAAAATAAAATCTTCCTCTGATTAGGTTCACCTGAAGAATGCAATAATATTTATAAGAGTTGTCTTTTTAGCCCTCTTTTGTGGTTGGTTGAACTACATTGACGAAAGCATGTAAAACCACTAATTTCAAACTACATTGCAGATGACTCACTATTAAGAAAAATAACATGAGCGAACCTTTCTTCCTTTTTATTTTAAATTATTTTGCTGTTGTTGAGAATACATACAGCAAAAGATACACCAATCATTTCTACATGTACCATTTAGTAACACTGATTATATTATATGATATAACCATTCACATCCTCCTTTTCTGAGTTAATTTTCCACATTAACAAAAACTCACAGCCCCCTAATGCTCTAAAGAGCATTTTACTAATTTAGTTAAACTACTGTTTGGTTGTAAGAAGACTTAAGGGAATATTTTTGGCTTAAAGTTTAAAGATTATCTCAAGGAAATATTTTCACCAGTTCCATTCCCCATGGCTCCAGAAAGTTTAGAGTCAATAAAAATTTGAAATTCTATTCTGCACTTGCCCAAATTTGATCATAATTCTCCCACAGAATCTTTGATCAAAATGTTCAGTCATGGT